TTTTCTAAATAAGTCACAACTGTAGCCCGCGAAATTCTAATTAAAATGAGACATCTCCCAGCTCTATACGACCTTTCTTTCCAAAGTTATAGAATTTACAAGAAAAGCCCTAAAGTCATCTTTCCTTCTTCTTTCTGTAGCTCTAAGGTAACAATAAACATTTAGGGCTTTTCTTGTTAATTCTATAATTTTGCAAAGAAAGATCATGTAGAGCTGGGAGATGTCTCATTTTAATCAGAATTTCGTGGATTACAGTTGTGACTTATTTAGAAAAACTCCCCGGCATTTTTAGAGGTTTTTGAAAAATCAGTTTTCCAGAAACCGGTTAGAAAAGGCCCATGGGTAAAAACGGCTATGATATTCGGAATCGACATGGTCGATTACCTATAAACTAACGCATTTCGATAGAAAATCGGTTGGACACCTAGAAAGGTTCCCTCGCGAGTTTTCGACCACTGAGTTTAGAGCAATAGTCAAGACGCCAGTGAAACATCAATTAATAATGAGAATACAGAACAATCGTTAGCTCAAACAGTACGAAAAATTGATGAAACGGAAGCAAAACGAGAAGAAGCTCGGGTACTTGATAGAAACCACCAAATAGTTTCTCAAATGCATGCAACACTTGAACAATCATATAAAATGGTACCGTACTACACTGTTTTAATACCATTTCCTTTATTCTCATCACCAATGCATCATCCATTTCCCAAGCAAAAATCGCAAAAGAGTTTCGATGAACAGCAATCTACTATATCAAAAACAACAGACAATAAATTAAAATGGTCTGAGGACCAAGTGAACAAACTGCGCTTGTTTGAAAATAAATATTTGTCATTGAACAAAGCAATTTCAGCAGACAGTTGTTATGTAATCGAAAGTGATGAGGGTTTAAGAATGACATCAGTGAGAAAATGTTCAAATAGCGACAAAGATAGTAATGATAACGTTAGTGAAAGTCAGAAGACAAATGAAAGAAGAAGTAAGAATTTGTGTTTGTGACAGTTATAAAACATCTATCGGTTGACTAAAAATAAATACTAGATAACAGATTTCATCATAAAATCAATTTAGAAACAGAAATATCATATGAAGCAATAGTCGATCGAGATAATCAACATTCAATCGATTCAACTTCATCATCATCTCCATGGATAACAATAGAATTAAAAGCAAATGAAAATTTAATTAAAACTTATCGTGAAAATTGTGATCGTTGGCAATTAGATAGCTCAAAAGTATCATCCGTAGTTATTTGTTGTACAACACAACGTTCAAGAGATGAAATAAATGATGATTTTTTGAATGCAACAAAGACTATTGAAACATTTGACGAAAGATTCAAATATGCATTAGTTCATGTCGAAAACTACGTGTACGCTATAGGAGGCTATAAACTAAAACAAGGTCAAGGTATAAAAAAATTTAGAATCAAATTTGGAGAAAAAATAAATAAACAAATTGCGGTACCTATACTGTTTTGTTTCTTCAGATCAAACAGGTGACAGTAATAATGTCAAATTGTTAAAAGTCTGCGTTTCAACAATGCTAAAATACAACATTATAAACCGTCATATAGAAATATTGAATGGTCCAATGCCTGGACGAACAAATTTTGGTCTTGCTACAGATTCAAAGTGTATTGTTATCGTGGGTGGTTTAACATCACATATGGATGATAAATCAACAAATAGTGTATGGTTATTTGAGTATGAAAATGAAACATGGTCTCGTTTATGTGATTTATCACGATCAATAATTAGTGTGGGTACATGTTTCATTGATAATTATCATCTAATTGTCATCGGTGGTTTATGTGTGACAAGTCACGGACCATTAGCACTACGAAAATGTTATTTATTCAATATGAAAAAAAATCTATGGTTTAATTTAGCACCGTTGAATGAAGCTCGCGGTCATCCGATTTGTACATGTTATAATAAAATTGTATATGCTATTGGTGGTATACAATATAATCTTTACAAACAACAATTAATATCAGTTACAACAATTGAACAATACGAGATAAATTTGAATCAATGGACGATTTTAACAACAATAAAACAATTAAAATCTCAAACAGGATTGTATTGTACTAGTGACGGTATTATTGTCGGAAGTAGCCACGTAAACGGAGTCGAAGAAGAATCAAATAAGAATTTATTTCAAAAGAATATTTGGGCGTTTGATTTAGTTAAAAAGCGTTTGATTAGTGAGTAAAATTATCTGCTTGTGGAGATAACAGCGAGTCGATAAAAGTTCTCTTGTCTGCTATCGAACAGATCTCTCTAGTTTTCACATTTTTGTTCTTATGTATTTTCGAAATAGTCAAACTTTATCAAAAAATGAAGAAAACAATGAAGAGAAACGTATTCACTTGTTGCCAATATTTTATGCGTAAAAAAATCGTTGTCTAGAACATAGAAAGACTACGTTTATTATTTAATATTTTGTCTATAGTTTATCAGTATCAATGACTGAATGTACCAATGAAAATTACAAAAAAGTAAACTTTTATTTTTTCATACAAAACCCCCGAATTCTGAGATTTGTAAAGAAATCATAAAGCGAATGGCTTATAACATAAAATTCTTGAGAATCTTTACAATAATTCTATCGTGATAAAGTTAAATCGATCTAGTTTCAAAATAGAAGACAGTTGAGTGTTTCTTGAATTACTTTTGTCTAAAAAAAGATAGAAACTCGCGATTTTTACCATGAGATACTCAAGACTTTTAGATACTCAAGGCAGCTTTTTTGTCATAAAAAGAAGAGTTTAACTTTGACAGAATCTTTGGTTTTTAGTTCATGCTTCTAACATCTATAATAGAAATATATTGATTTTCTTATATGACCAGATAATCCAAATTGTCTTCTTTAAAATGTGAGTTAGGCAAGATATTCGATCTTCATAGTTTAGATGTGATATCGAATTCCATCAAAGCCCTACATGAGAAAGAAGCTTTTGAACTCAATTTTATGAAAATAAACTACTAAGTCTTGTTTATCCAATGGTCTTTCGCAAATCTCCATCTCTTTTCAGACAAAAATGATTCAAGAAACATTCAACCGACTTATATTTTGAAATGGATAGTAATTGAGTACACAGGTTGGTCAATATCTCTTATATCAGAAAATTGTTGAGACTTTAGATGCTTATCGCAACATATGGACTGTCTATGCCAAAAAAAAGTTCTCATGATTAACAACAAGTATAAAAACTGCATTTGTACAACAGAATTACAAAAAAAAAGTCTTTGGCTAATATCTGTATTTAGTTGAATAATCTTTTGGTGACACAACCAAACCTCTTCCTTTTCTTGCTCCTCTATAAACTGTTTCAATAATATCGATAAATTCTTGGGTATCTTCTAACGCCCAATTAATTTTATTGTTATTACCCGTACCCAAATCGATCATAATGTGTTTATTACGGTAGAAAAACATCACCGTGCATGGATCATATAATTCGTACATTTTATTAAAATCTGGCACTTCAGTTAAATCCACGAGATAAATTACGGCAAAATTTTTAATTTTCTCAGCCACTTTATATAATACTTCGTCCATTTTCATACATGTTGGATCCCAATCATGACCAAAACGAATAACAACAACTTTATCTTCCTAAAAATTAAAAAAAATATTTTAGTCTAAAAAATTTATCGTTCATAACAGATTACTTACTTCAGACAATATACTTTGATCAACCTGCCAACCATTATGAAGATGCGGTAACATATACGACATGATTGAACAATACTGGAAAATTAATCGTATGCGTGTAAATATATCTGTAAATGAAAAGAAAATTATTCAAGAACTTAAAATGCTGTCTTAATGGAATAAATAGACAATTCAGTTATAATATTTCGATAAGAAAAAATTTTTATTCTCTGAACTGACGAGACTTAGAGATACAATGACGACAGATTCTTTGTCAAAGGATTAAACTTTTTATCTATGATAATGAAAATATGATGATTAAAGATTTTAGCTCTTATCTGTTATGCATGTTCTTCTGACTGTATTCTTAGTCTAGAATAACAGTATACTAGTTAGTTTCAGCATAACGCAGTCGAAATGTGAAACGCGTTTGTACACATATTCGTCTCTGACACTATTAATCAAAATTGTTACCACATATAATTTTCTTTATTCGATATCTATGCCGTCAGATGAGAGTTACTCTGAGAAGAAAAAAAGAAAAAAATGTAATAGTTAACAGAACGTAATTGATGTTAAGTATAACTAGATGGCTCTGTTTAATATTTATGAAAACGTCTTGACGAATTCTAACAACAGACTAATCTAAAGCAAAAACGGATCTTACATACCATTGCCTGAACTCCTACAAAAATCTTAATTGTATTATTTGTCTTTTAATTGATCCTCATAACTAGTACTATGATTAATAAAGAGTTTTTATTTTTTGTTCGATATTATTTTTACATATTTTGAAGATTTTCATACAAAACAAAAATATTAGTAACAACAACAACAACAATAACAACATATAGCATGCAGAGAAAAACATAAAATTACAAAATTAACCTCTCTAAATTAATCACAATAAATATATAAAAAGAAAGAAGATAAAATCCTATTAAATTATCAGAAGAGAAGATTTTGGCTTAGATCACAGGTTTTATGAGTTCATTCTCAGTTACAGCAGGGATATATACACACAGTTAAAAAATGTATTTAGAAAATATAAAGCATGAAAAAAAGTATGATCTGTCTAATAAAAGGACAAGGTGGGAGTAAAGTATAATGTTTATTATTTCGTTTGATTCATATTGCTTGTTAAAACTAAAAAAACAAAGGCTTTAACTTAAAACAGTGAANGAGAAGATTTTGGCTTAGATCACAGGTTTTATGAGTTCATTCTCAGTTACAGCAGGGATATATACACACAGTTAAAAAATGTATTTAGAAAATATAAAGCATGAAAAAAAGTATGATCTGTCTAATAAAAGGACAAGGTGGGAGTAAAGTATAATGTTTATTATTTCGTTTGATTCATATTGCTTGTTAAAACTAAAAAAACAAAGGCTTTAACTTAAAACAGTGAAAGAAATAATTTCCATATTATATCATTACTAGGAGGGAGGAAGTGTTCATTGTGATGAACACAAGAAGAAAAGCATTGAAAAAGGAGCAGATCAATATCATGTAAATCATAGTTTTTGTGAATAACCTCAGCGTGTAAGATTTCCTGATCTTGTAAGAAAAAACAAGCAAAAATAACATTAAAAGTTGACAATAAATTTTATAATTCTCATCAATTTCACAGGTTACATAAACGTAAAAGCGTAGGGACACTAATATATTAAGCAAAGAAACTATTGATATTTAACACTGAAATATAAGAAATGACAAAAAATTAACCAGTTTACTAAAAATAAGTCAGTCAACACAGTGGCGCGAAGTACAATCTGACAGTCTTCAGCGTCATTCATCTACTGCATAAATGACATTAAAGGCGAATAATATCATTTCTGATTCAAACGTGAGTCTTCTAAAAAAAGTGAATTCGTTTTGAATTATTTTGATTGCACCTTTTGTGTATATATATGTATAAAAACAGCATCTTTACAGTACCAGAAACTGCTTTGAAAAAAAACAAAAAAAAACGTCGTATTTATCGTATCACAAAGGAGAAGTAGAAAAAAAACCTAAGAAGTAATAAACAACAGTAACAATCGACAATGTTTCAACCCTTAATTTGTAATTTTTGTTTAATTTGATCCCATGTCAATTCATTTAACGTTACATTCACTAATATGAACAGATTATAAAATTTTATTTCATGCAACGTGTACTCAGTATTATTTATACCATCTAAACTGAAATTATATTTTGAATACAATATTTTATGACGATATGGATTAGCACGACTGGCTACATGTCCACCATTACGAATCATTTTATATCGTGCAATTTCAATTGGATATCGACTAATAGCTTTTTTCAATTTGTTAACAACACGATTGTACATATCTAAATTGAAATAAAAGATTCAAAGATTTTGAATTGCTATTTATGCTGACTAATCATTATGTCCTAAAAATCATTTCTAAGTAAAACTGTACAGAAAAATATTTAGATAATATCTCTTACCATCGTCCTCGCCACCCCAGCCTTGATACACTGTAGAATAGCCATGTGCTCCAAGAAAGTCTTGTTGTTGAAATGCTGTTACACCGCCAAATAATGTTGAATACAACAGTTTATAATTAAATTTATCGACAGCAACCGACATATGTCGAGGTTTGTCACCACATTTATACAAATTTCTGTAGTCTTCTGACAAAAGATCAACATCATGAAATATAAAACACGTATAGTTGTACAATTTCATTGCTTCGATATATCCAACATTAAATAATGCAGCACGATTAAATAAATTTTTGCCTAGAAGAAAAAAATAGTTAGTATAAACTATTGTCACATATTTTACAATCAAATTTCTATAAAACTGGTTCTTACCATGTTGATTTACGACAAATATTGTATAATCTAACTGTTGTTTTTGTAAAAACGGATGAATATTATTTAGAAATAATTTTAGATGTTCTTCTCGTTGTCGATAACAGATAATTAGAGCTAATCGTTGTTCTGTTTGACATTGTGATGGCCACCAATGACCGGCCGAATGGTTATTAAAATGAGCTTTTTCTATATCAGAAAACTCAACTATTGAATAATTTACATTAACAACATGGGAGGATGTCGGAGGTTTCGGAGTTGTTACATTTGTTGATGCATCACAAAATGGTAATTGATAATAAGTATCATTTGGTTGTGTGAATGTAGATAAGTAAGATGCATTGACAAATGGCGGTGGATCATATACAACTGTGGTAGTCGCATTTAATGTGAGATTATTCGACGATGTTGCTGTTTTTATATTTACTGTTGTCATATTTTCAGAGCTAATAGAAGAAAAAAAACATAACAGTCAATATACATTTGTGTCCTTTTTCATATTTAGTATTATTTTTGTAACAACTCACGTTATTGAGGACATTGTTGTCGAAGTTGTTGGCATTGTTGTGGAAGTTATTGACATTGTTGTTGTGTTTATTGACTTATTTTGGATAGTTGAGATATCTGACGATGTTGCTATTGGCATATGCTTTCGTATTTGTAATGTGACTACATAGTAAAGGGCTTGACAAAAGACAACTGAACATATAAATACGAAAACTGTACGACGATTTTGAAACATAACGTTTTATAAGAAAAATAAGTCAGGTTATTACACTGATAAAACAACATCAAACTAATTTCATGAATTTTTTATCACTATCATAGATAAAAACACATAATCATTATCAAATAAATAAATGAATTTTAAAAAATACTAAAACTAATGTATAATATTTATTTGTAGGCATTCATTCTCCATTGTCTAGAATGAGAAATAGAAAACAAAAAATTACTTTCAGTCTCGTATTATGTTTTTTTTTTGTTCGATCTCATTCTAATTTGTTAATTTACCAGTCTGATAACTTCTCAAACACTCGGATAACGTCTTATGAGTTAGAGGATATGTCTTATATTCATTTTCTAGAGTCCAGTCTGTCGTTTCCCAATTATAACAAAAATCCGATACAAAAACAAAATATTTTTCTGTTGCATGGCCAACTTAATAAACATCTGTTTCTTTTGTAACACAAAGTTAAGTAATTATCTTTAAGAACAGAGAAAACATAGGTTTTTAATTTTCTTTCTCTTTAAATATATTGTCATCAACTGAAGAAAAAGAAATGTTTGCATTTTGAGTTCAAGGAAATAATTATCATTACAAAGGAGTTGTTTTGTCAATCAATCACTTTTATTTCCGTGATTCATAGTAAAAACACACTCACTCGCGCTACGGCCGGAAGGAGTGTACAATAACCTTCTTTCAGAAATTTTGTTAGAAATTTACTCTTGTTTTGTGAAAAAATAGAGTGAATTCACTCTGATTTTTGGAATTACAGTCCCCTGGTCCAATCTCCCTCGCCACTAAACACACTATACAATCGTTAACAAAAACATAAATATTGTAATTAAATGAAAAGTATATTATTATTATTTTTTAACTTTTTTGTTGAAAAAGCATTTTTGCACAGATCTTTTCGACAAGAAAAAGATAACTATTCTTTCTTCCCTTCATTTCTCTATGAAATAATCTTTACGTCAATGGATCAAGGTATCAAATACATCTTTACTATGCTGCTTTCTGCTACGTAAAACTAGAACGCAAGTACGCTGCATGAATATTACACAGGTAAAGAGGGTAGTAACAGTACGCTACTGTAGCTGTAGTTTTTTAATTAACGAAATGAAAGCAACTTATTTAAAAAACGAGATAAAAAATTGATCAAGCGCTATCAGCGATTACGCATCAAAGATCTTATTCTTGTTGAAAGTTCATGGAACATACTTCTAGTTACGAAATGTATTCGATCTTACTGTGTGCTGTTATTTCCCATGAGGTTTTTTTATCGATTGAAACGGTGTCCAGACGCGTGTAAACGACACAGTAACAGAAACGCGTTTAATCGATGCTTGAAACACGTTTCTGTTACTTCGTCGTTTACACGCGTTCGGACACCGTTTCAATCGATAAGAAAACCTCATGGATCAAAAGTACAACATTTAGGCGCCTGTTCGTATTTTCCGTATAAGAAAAACGGAGGAAAAAGGAAACTTTCGTACTAGAGTATTATCTGTATTCATCTAAGACAGTCCAAATGTCTCATATCTCATTATTTGCAAGAAAACAACAATAATCCTTGATTATATTGTTTAGTAACTGCAAGGTGGAAAATAGCTAGAACGCAAGCGCGAAAGCGATTGAGGCGTAGCCATCATAGAACAACGTGTGCTGTCTCTTCCATATAAAAGCTTCACCATCCCCATTGGAACCTAGTTTTTTCTTCATCCACTATTTTCAACCGTTTCAAAAACTTAACAGAGAATGTTCATAGACTCAGCATGATGTAAGAGGAATTTAACAGTAAGCAACGCATAAAACATCTTACTGGAACTGTTAGTCTTCTAGAGAACAGCAAAAATAGCTGTGACAACATTTATGAGACGGTGTTTTCATGAAAACAGAAAAAAATATTTTAGAATTGTAAAAATGTGAGAAGAAATCTTAAAAGGCAAATTTTTTGCTTTTCTTCATGCGTCTTTTTTTTTCAAAAAAAATGAAATACAGAAAAAATAGATGACGTAGCCTTTTAAAAACTCTTATTTTGTAGTAGTATATTGTATCTCATGCTACACCGCGTTATTTGACTCAATACATAAATACACACTAATTTTTCATTATTAAATATGTTCTGGAGGAATGATTCGTCGAAACATTTTTTTTTCCAATAAACAAATAACGATAAATCAGAACATACCACACCAAATCAAATGGACTGAATCAACTGATTAAAATATTTTAAATAGATAGTTTATAGGAAAGGACGTGAACGAGTAGCTTAGAAAATTGTCCCAACATGAACTTGATTATTTTCCATTAGAAATATGTCAGATAATCACTGGGATCATTTTGTACCACTTAGTTTGACGAAATGGCAATATGAAGCATTTGGTACCCATCAGGATTTCTAGAAAACGTTCATGATTACTCTTTTAGAATATGTATTTAAAAACAGAATTCGTTTACATGAACAGGGAAAATTTTGAGTTTTCGTTCTATTTTTCCACTATCATCTAACAAAAGCTTGAAACAATGAGGAATGAGCCAAATTCACGTCCTGGTGAGGCCGCTGTATGTTTGCCGCCATACGGCCTGGAAGCTACATACAGAAAATGCTTTATGCTCTATCGAATGATGAAATTTTAAATGAGAAAAAAGATGCTTTTTTTCAAGGACTCAGTTTTAAAGGATTTCAGCAAGTTTTCGGTGAGATTACCAAATCTTCGTCATTAAAGAAGCTTCTTAACTCGATACTAAAGTAGTATTTAGAATGTGGGTGGAGAATGAGGTCGAATGATATATATCTCATGTGTTTTCTACCACTTTGATTTTTAACCAAAAAATTCGGCCCTGGTACTCCAGAAAAATGAAAAAAGTTAAACCTGAAGTTTCTGAACTGGTTACGACTTGAGATGACTTATTTTGGCAGCAGCAGGTGAATCTGAAGTATATGAAACTAAATTTTTCGGTTTTTCTGGATGTATCAGAGCACATAATCCATGCCATCTCGAAAAAATCTGGAAATCCTGCTGAGAACCAAAGGCTTCAAAAAACTCATATCGCCATTTTGCCAAACTAAGTAGTACAAAATGATCATCTGACATGTTTCTAATGGAAAATAATCGATTTCACTGTGAGATGCTTTTTTACAAAGGCGATTAGTGGCTAAAGTTTAACCGCTAAATAACTGATTTCTGCTTTACTGTTCAGAAACTTCGTATGTAGTGGCATACAAGATTCACCTGGTAAACTTACTCATTTTTTTCCCTCTCTCATTTAAGTAAAGCCACTGAGGCTTCCAGTTCGTAGAATCAATCAACAGTTATAAAATAATAGTGAGCAAAACTAAACATAAAACATTTAGTTACAAACGTTCAGTAAACTTTTATGGTAAAGTTCAAGAAATTCTCTTCTATATATCAAAATGTAAGCTCAAACATCATACTTTGTAAAAATAAAAAATTTATATACTATGAGATATATAGTCAGTCCAAAAACTAAGTCTAGGCCTCCATATGTGTCTTAAAAACTTTTCTCTCAGTGGTTTGATTGCTCGCAGCCAGAGTAATCGCATTTCTTTCTTTATATTTTCTTTTCGTTTTACGACATACAATATATATAATTTACCTCATTTTCACTACCAACATCAATAATGTAGATTTCTTTTTCATATATTCTAAGCACTTTTACAAAAAAAAGTACACAAAAAACACAAAAAAATGAGTGTACATATTGAATAATAGAATAAGAATTTTGCAAGCATGTTACTTTAACATATACAATATTTTAAAAGAATTTTATACTCTTCCAGTTTGATCATCTGTGTGTCTGATTCAACAATGTACTCTAAACAGGTTTATTTATAATTTCCCATGTGGGTGATAAAAATGATCAACGAGAAAAAGATTTAACTAGATTAAACATTTCAAGTTTTACCTCAAATGTGACGAAATGATACTGTCTATAAATAAATTTTAATTGATGACTACTATCATACAGAGAAACAAGATTGGATTATTAACTTGGATTCAGGGACGCCGGCGCGAAGTACAAGAAACAGCGGGGGCTCCTCCGATTTTGGAATAAATTGAAAAATTTCAAAAATGAGAGCAAATAAAAAAAAAAAAAATAAATAAATAAAGTCGTCTAATAATACGTAAGTTTTGACATACAAGACATTTTAGTTGCATCCGCTCAAGTTTTTTGCTATAGTTTCTGCAGTGAAACTAAACATATTTTTCATTTTCTGAACTGATTTCTATTCTAACTCGTAGACACTTAACTGTGAAAAACAATTAAATTATTCTGAAATCTGTTGTTGTGCTTTTTCAAATACGCTTTCCCGGTTTTAGTTGTTTCCACTAAGCCGCAGTTTATGTCTGAGATACAAACTTCTTTAAATTTAAGAGTAAAATGTACTGATTCATCATCATGACCTGCGGCATTGACTGAAAATCTGAGCCTCAAATTTTGACTTTGGGAGTAAACTCAGCGGACAAAAGCGTTTTTTTACGAGGAGTCAAGTGTTTATACCGCGGAAGTTGGGAGCCAGTTAGTGAAAGAGAGCAAGAAGAATGCAATGCTTTCAAAATGCAAGTCGTAACAGATTTTCGTGTAAACGAAGAAATGAAAATATGTTGATGTTTACTCTTAAATCGAGAGTATTTATAATGAGTGATCGACGATTGTTCATTATGCAGCACTAAATCACAGCTCAGAAGCTTTTCCTCTTCGTTTCCACATGCCGTTATCGTTGTTAGCATACACCAGATGGTGCTAATTGTTTATCTCATTTCTAGAGCAATAACGTTACGCATTTGAGACTAAAAGGTTTGAAAAAGCAGGGAGAGGGATCCCCTCCCTACTCCCATTGTCGCGGCGTCCCTGTTTGTAGTTTGAGCTCTATCCCCCTAAAAAAACATTTTTGCCAACCCTGTAGTGTCGATATCTTATTTTAACTGCAACTATTTAGTAGGATCTGTGAATAGCGAAAATATCTTCTCTGTAATAACTAGGATTTACGTGTGGACTAGCAAACCTCAATATTTCGATGAACAACATAGCTCGTCATGAAAGTTAAAGTTCATTAAACCATTCCTTCTTTCTAGGTATCCCTTACCGCTGTTCGAGAATAGCAGAGATCAATAACAACAACGAAAATCATTGTCAATGAACAACTTCGATCATTGTGCAGAATGTAGGAAAGAACAGCGAAGTTGATTTTTGCAGTTCGTTTGCAAAGATCACGTGTGTTCGATTCGAACTTCGTGCAAGGGTCGATATTGTGTTTCGACAGTTTCAGTTTCAGAATGATACAATGGGAATTATATTCTCGATTTCATTCTGGTTCAAGATTAAAGCTTAAACAAACAATGAAAATACTCAAAAATCAAAATAAGAAAATTTTGGTTTTTCAATGGTATAAAGAATATTTATTACCTAAGGGCCTCTTATTTTACTCATTAGTCGTCTCAAAACCTCCTACAATCTTGCGAATCAGAAGGAGATTATCTGCAAAACAATCCCCAGTCATTTTCATACCTATTTACTGCCATCCAATGCTTTTAGTCATCAGTTGTCATCTAGTACTGCCTCAGTATATCCACACTTGAGGGTATCGTTCATTTTCGACTTTGTGGTGAGTCATTCTCAAAATAAAATAGATAAATATCAACTAGAAATGAAAAGATCAACAAAGACATACAAAACAGAGATACGTTTTTTTGTATTTAACATATATCTATATCGTGCTGTGAAGAAAAAAACAAAAACATTGGTCAAAATAAGGTACAATCACATGGTCGCAAAATGACGAAATAATCATTATTTTAATAAAATAAAATTTTGAACACTTGTTTTGTTAAAACTTTTGTTATTTTTTATCTTAATTTGTCTAATCACCTTCGTTCTTATAATGAATTTTTAATAGATGTCGTACAATATGTATTCTAAAAAGAATCAAATCTTGAACTCTGATTTTTCAAATGTTCATTCATGCGATGTTGTTTCTTTTACATTAACTGTCTTCTTTTACTTTGAAAAGGCACAGATCGAGACATACTCCTTTCCCTTTATATTGTGCAGTATCCGCTCTTGTCCATTTTGCGCTAAAAGTGTGTGGCACATGGAAATTCTTAGTCTCTCAAAAAAAAAACCAGAGCAAGATTCAAGAAGGTTAGCGGTAATATGTTGGACGAAGTATATCTAATATACTTTTTCAATATATACCTTTGAAATTCATAGAATATTCATGCGAAATTTCAGTCAGGCTGAAAATAAAAAAATTGGCTGTACGAAAAACTTACTTTTTGGAAAATAGCATAGGAAATCATTGATTTCTCGATGATGATAAGGTGAAAGAAAAAACTTTTCCCGTTAATCTGTAGCTGGACAGGGACCTGTTTCTCAAAACAACTTAAGTGCGGTCTGTTTCTCAAAAAAGCTTAAATTTCACTTAAGTAAACAGAAACTTATACTTAAGTTTTTTTAAGAAACTGGTCCCCGGTCATTATTAAATTTGAAGCTGTTTTACAACTCGAATATTCTTTTAAGCTAATAAAACACAAAATTACTACCTAGTTACTCACTATTGCGTTGTATAGTCTGTTTGCTAGCTAGTAAAAGCTTTTCCACTGTTCTGGAAAAGATGATAAATTTATACATAGAAAATGTGAAAGTCGATTTAATACAATTTTAATTCAATTTAAACAATAAATTTATTTTCATAAGAAAAGATAGACTAAATATTGAACTTTATTAATGAAGGATAAATATCAGAAAAGAATGATGTTTATTTTCTGACTAAATGTCTCCATCACATTGTCCAATGTGTGAAGATGATCCTATCATTTATTAATGGAAAAAATAGAAAATAATTACTAATAGCAAAAATTCAACAAAAATGCTGTAGGGGTATGTAATGACAGGACTTTGTGGAAACTCATAGTATTTATTTTACAGCACAAATTAATTGATTATATATAAATAATTAATTTGTGTTGTAAAATAAATACTATGAAAAATACTGTAGATGAGATTCACACTTGACCCTTGATTTCATACAAATAGCTCCTAGGAACTTGTCAGGCAGTTTTAACTGAGTGAACGCTGGGAGTTTTTCAGTGATGATCGATTATGATCAGTTTCAGTGATGTTATTCCAAGATGCTGTAACCAAAGTATCGTTGCTAATATATGACATAAACTGCGTTAGAGGAAACTGAAATCTAGGAACTCTTGCATTCCCCTAGAGAAAATGAAAATTCTAATATTCCCTGCAGGAAAATTTTAAATTCCTCTCTTCCTGGAAGACACAGTCATGCAGATTATCTTTATTTCCGCTGGGAGAGATTAAGATTACACTGTAATTTGGAATTATTTTCTACTTTATAGAAAATCGGCTCAATTTTCTATATATTGACTTTTCTCATTTGCCAGAAAATCGATAAGGAATTTCTAAACAGTTGGAAAATCCAATTTTTCTAATTTTTAGAAAATCGATCGATTTTCTATAAATAATTCCCAACATTGTAGAAAACCGACTTGATTTTCCAGATTCTAGAAAATCAAAATCGATTTTCTATAAATAAATCCCAACATTCTTGAAATTCGGCAGCGATTTTCTAAATAGTTGGAAAATCGAATTCGATTTTCTAAGAAGACGACTTAGTGATTTTTTTCTTGCTTCTTTCACATCCATTAAAGCCTATACATTGCAACAAGTTATCGTGTAACAGATCTCTGATCGTTTTAGTATTTAATATCGAAAATGTTAGTAGCTTCTGAAAGTTCTCTCAGTTTTTGCAAACCAGCATATTCTTCGAGAAGTATTGTTGCTGTACGACACTTGGAGATTACAAAGGGGTATTGAAAAGTTTCCTGGTTTGCCTAGTTAAGACAAAGTCGAGTTCCACCGCAACTTTCTGAAGATTGCAAAGCAATTTGCTCTTGCTAATATTCCTCATTTTTATGTCTGAATTTAGCATCTTCCAAAAATGTAGTTGGTTATATTAACTCAAAGACATGATTCTAACAATTCACATTTATTTTCTTTATTTTTTAAATAAAATAACACTCGTTCAACACGTGAGCGATGGCGAATTTGGTTTGCATTAGTAAAAGATCCATATTGTCATCCAATAAGCTGCAATAATACACCCACTCAACTTCGAAGTTCAACAGCTTTTAATAATGTTGAAAAAGTTTATCTTCAGCCATTTTCACGCAGGTCTCTGATTATCAGCATTCTCAAATTGTTCTTTCTCATCATCTAGAAAATTGCTGAGGATTTTCAAGAAAGTAGAAAATAATCCGACTTTTTGATTTTCGAAAAGTCCATAAGGTAGAATGCAATTGCGCTACGCACAAGTTGCGATGTCGACAGACTCTGTGCATCTCAAACACTCCGAAAACGAAATACTCCAGAGACAAGACTTTATCCATCTGGCTTGTTTAGCTTCAGTAGTAATATGAAACCTTTCTTGCACATTTTTACAAGAGAAATAAAACCGTAAAGCGATATTCCAAACCAGAGTAAACGAGAAATGTTTCCTTCTTTGAACAAAAGACTGTAGAAAACAAGTATAAGAATTAATAAAATCACACTTTCTTTAATTTTCTTTGTGGTATATTGTGAAGAACGCTGGGGTACGCGAAACTTAACTGTTCTGGTATATATGACTTTATGTCATATTAATATCAGCGGCAACAAATTGACCAATATTTGAAGGATATGGGTGGAATAAGATGTGAAGCAGCTTATAAATCAACATTATTACACTTCACATACGTATTTATCAATGCATTCATCATCAAGCCATATTTTTCACATTAAATTTATATCGTCTGACATAACCGATTTCTAGATGCTGTTGCTGTGTTGATTTCTGACTACAAAAGATCCTTAGATATTCCTCAGATATGTTTAGACTAAATGGTAAGTTAGTAAATTTGTTTTCAATTAAAGATCTTGTCGATTTGAAATCATCGTGTCCTCCAGAATTACAACAAACTGACGTCAGTGTTTTAGGTAATGTTACATTCATTGATGCATGTAAACTTTATGCGCGTAGATCAGCAAGTGGTGCAACATGTGATTGTAAAAGTGAATGCGCGACGAAGCATTGCCCTTGTAAGAAAGCCGGAGTCTCGTGTTATATGCATAAAGTTTATCTTGGAAAATTTAGGAATTTTCATTTTTAAAAGTGAGAACAAATAACATCCAACTGAGTATCACTCAAAAAACAAACGACTCCTTTCGCTTATAAGTACAAAAACCGTATGTTACTGCTGCGGCATTTCTCGCTCTTGTGACTAGAGGCCTGTGAGACCAAACTTTTTTGGTCCCAGTCCCATCCCGATCCCGTGAAGAAAAAAATTTTGGTTCCGGTCCCGTGGTTCAGTATATATTTTTTCGAAATAGCGCTGATAGTTTGAAAGTCAGCGCGTTGTAATGCGGCTCGTGGAACAACATGGGCGGTTGGTATTAATTGAAGACTTTTAGAATTTTATGAGTTCTTTCTCGCAGAACTGGCAGGGCCGTTTTAAGAAATTTGTGGCCCCTGTGCTGATCATTAACGTTTTTAACACATCAATTTTTTTTTTTTTAATAATAACAAAATGCAAGGCTTAAGCCATTCGACTGGGCCCCTGAGTCAGCCGGATCCCTGTGCTATAGCACAATTAGCACATAGGATAAGAAGGCACCGAGAACTGGTGTCTACATATAAACAAGCACAGAAACTAAGAAATTTTTATGCACCATAAAAGACTATTTTCAAAAAAATCTGGTCCCGGTCGCATTAAAAGTCCTGCGGGACCGAGACCGTCCCCCAGACCTCTACTTGTGACCAGAAATGTTCTCATATTTTCCCCTCTGACTCCACATCATAACGAAAAGTTAAACAGAAAAATGTTTGTTATTGTCTTTTTCCCATATTTGTCTACTCAGGACAAACAATTCGAGAACATTGCAGCGCGTCTGATAAGTCAGAAATGTCGATTGTGCATCTGCTACAGTGTCTGAGAAAAGTGAGCAGACAGACGGCGTCACTAGTATTACTTTTGTTTAAGAGACCTGAAGAAGCACTAGGCTCACTTATTCATGACGAAATATCATATTTTGGAGGAGTCATCGTTGGAATCTCTTGTATACATCTCGTTTGAAATGTACAATAATTCTTATATCATGTACGAAATGCATTAAGTCTTTTTATTCTTACATTAGCATCGCAAGTGTACTATGTACGACGTTTTTCTTTTAGAAGTACACCATTTTGGCGGTATATACCGCTCGTTTTCGATTTCTGCTGCACTTTAAATTTTCTTTAATGCTATCAACAACATATCAATTATTTTTCCTTTGAAACTGATTTTCTGAATGTATGATATCTACTTTTTTTCTAAAATATATGCTCAAAATCGCTCATGCACTCTTTACGAACAAAAAACCTGTGAAAAACTGAGTTGAACGATACTATCATCATTTCGCATAACTTTATTTTTGTGATCTGCTACATGAGAGGTAGACATGGGTTCCATCAAAGACCCGTTTCAATTTTACCTTCTCTTTGGAAAAAAGGTGTAACTGCTTAAAAGTCAGTGTCTCGGGAAGACTATTTGATTACAAAAACATTCATAAATTTATTAACACTTCGACAAATAAAACCAAATAAAAATAAACGAAGATTCCAAATATATAAAAATAGTTGCAGCAAAAAACTTTTGATATCTGAAACATAGCCAGAATGCTGAAGCAGGAGAGAAAAAAGCTCCCGTGAAACAACAATTTCTTGTGGTTTTGTTAACCTCAGTCTCTATCGTTATCCTTCTCGTCATCATAAAACTCATTGACTGCATCAATGCTAAAAAAAGCAAAAAAGTTTGAAATAAGAATAAGAACAGAATCTACTCATTAAAATATCATACTGTGGTGCTTTTTGTCCCATGTCGTCTCCATCTTCATCGCTTTTATCATTGTCGATTAAATCGCATGGTACGTCTTGCATCTGAACGGATGGTGCATGTTTAAGTAGACGTAATTTTTCATTAACAAATTGGACAATCAATTCCAAATACTAAAAGATAAACCATTGTCACAACTAACTTATCGCACATTATAATCCATAAAGAATGATTCTTCAATATCTTTGAATAAATAACGTTTGAACGGACGATGGAAGATAGAGATTCACATTATTTTGTAGTTAAGATCTGGTTTCATCGAACGATAAAAATTTCAGTCCAAACCCCCGGCTATGCGGCAAACGGCTTTGTGAAAAACAACCTTAGAATTTTCTATTTTTCTATACAAATTTACATTCCTGTCATATACAGTTATAGTTAAAAGTACTCCCCACATTTAAGCCATTTCCATCTATCAATGTTCGAGCGGAAGGTTCTGAACCATTTTTCTGATTTTCCAGCTGAATCTGTAGACAATCTTCGTAGCAAGTATTATGATCAAGGGGAGAAAGCGTCTCCGCAGCTTCTCGGCTCCTTATAGCTCCTCAGAGTTCCATTTGATTTCTGGTATCTCCAAAAGTCTACTTTTTGTCACATTAATATGCTCGTTATGAAACAGTCATTCTGTTTTTTAAACTCTTTGTTTATTCTTATACACGGGTTTTTTCTTCGATAACTTACTTTCATCTATACAACTCAGCACTCTAACCATTATAATTTTAGTCGAGTGTGAATCTTAATATGTAGTTTTGTTACTTCTGTACGTAATGAAAATGCAAAAAGTAAGTATGCACATAATAAATCATCATTTTTAAAGCATAAATCTCAGTCTTTTGATTTAGATACACTGGACTCGTCTCCACGAGAGCTAGATACTAGCTTTTTTCAATTTCTTCTCAGAAATAGTAATGACAAAAAATGCAGAACAGTCGATAACTTATGCTTTCAAACATCTGTAAGGTTATGGAGAGACGTTCACATGTTAATATTATTCAAAAGTAGTGAAGAACTTTTTTTTTGAAATAGAAAGTAGTATCCGTACGGCTCTTGGATTTCCATTTTCTAGTTTTGGGTTAATAAGATCGGGATGTAGTTGACAATCAGGACCAAAAAATTCAATATAATCTAGAAAGTTAAAAAGCTAGCAACAAGCTCTTTTAATTCAAAGATAATCATTTATTTACCATGATATGGTATATCATTCGATAATGTTTCTTTTATTATTAACGATGTTTCATACGTCCAACATCGAGCAACATTTTTCACAGTGTAGCCTCCACCGCCAACAACTAACGTCGGTAAATTTTGTTCCATAACATACGCCACACATTTTCCATGCCCTTTTATCGATAAATTAAAACATCCTAGACGATCGCCACCAAGTGAATCAGCCCCACATTGCAGCACAATGCATGTTGGTCTATAGTAGGACATCACTGTTGAAATGACAGGTTTAAATACAAGGTCGTAATAGTCTAGACAAAAAGAAAAGAATTATTCTCAAGTCAAAATAGTAACATTTTACTTTACCATCATCCATAATTCCTTCACGAAGTGGTACATTAATCGAATAATAACGTCCAGTTTCTGCACCAATCTCATACATACCACCTGCACAAAAGAAACATATAGCGAAGATAAGCATATTTATAACCACTTGGATCTTACCCGTTCCTGGAAAGAAGTTATTTCCGTATTTATGAAATGAAACGGTCATTACTCGATCAGTTAGATAAAATGCTTCTTGGACACCGTCACCATGATGTATGTCAATATCTATGTACAATACACGAACATGGTATCTAAATCGAAGATAAAAAAAATAATAAATTTTCTTACGCCATTGCTTCTCTCTACTTACTTCAATAATTCAAGAATAGCAATGACAATATCGTTTATATAACAAAAACCGGACGCCTAGAATACATAAAACGTAATTTGAAAGCTTATTCAATTTGTGTAACATAAGAAATCTCTATTACTTCAAATTTTTTTGCATGATGAAAGCCGCCAGACCAGTTGATGGCCACTTCACTTTGCTATAATGATTATACAAAGAGTAAACATTTATGTACATGTAAGAAGCAAACAAAATATGCGTACTTTATGATTGAGCATTGTCGCGCACAACAAGGATGCACCCGTATAACTTTTACAAAAGTCGAATAGACCACTGAATACAGGACTAAAAAGCAATAAAACAATCGAATGTAATGTATCATCCTGATCGAAAAATCTCTTACCAATCGTCACCCAAATTGTACTGATTATAACCTCGTTGATATTCTTGAGAATTTGGAGCAACACGCGATAAAAAATCAACATATTCGTCGGAATGAAAACGTATCATGTCATGAGCAGATGCTTCAGATGGATAGTATATCTAAGTAATAAAATCAATTGTTGATAAATTTTGTTTAAACAAGAATTGTAATTTTTTTTACCTTCATTTTTTTATGCATTTTATACTCAGCTACCAGAGCATGTGTTAATTCTACTCGATACGGTTTCATTGGATGGCCAGGTCCATAATGATATTTTCCGACCGTCTAGATTAAAGAAATATAAGAGAACATTATTCTATAAATTTCTTCTATATTTAACAAACTTACTGGATCCATCATATATGCAACAGTGCCTCGTGGTCTCGATGAGGAGTCTGTCATTTTCAAATGTTGGCATACAATCAATATAATCTAAAATAAGATACACACTAAGAAGCTGAAATCTATTAGATTTACTTTTTAAATCGATTAAACTCAACAGACTGAACTGAAGCGTTATAATTTATTAGCTAAATAAACAACGGCATGGAACTATTAGAAAAAAAACACAGTAAAAACGTAAGATCATCACACTGAAGTTCAATTTGCAATACGATGATAGGATATCATCAAAAACTCGGAAAAACGTGTTTAATGATGAAAATCATCAGCTTGAAATATATGACCAACAGTGGAAAGGTGTCAGACTTTTACAATGATATTGATGCGCGGCTACGATATTGTCGTACTTTAACTGCAATTGTTGCTTTCTCACTAAACAAAATTAAGTCAAATCTTTGTTTATTCTGGAAAATACATTCTAAATGATTGTGTTCTAAAGTAGATTACTTAGATCTGATATAATTTACATATGATAGCGTCGTCAAAACAATTACATAATGAAAGAAGAATCAAATATTTAAGCTAGTTTTGTTTACCTTTAACTAAAATATAGTTATTTTCAAACGAAGAAAATGTCTCAAACACTATGATTTTAACATCATACATGTACTCACTGATCCGCCAAAAAAGTATATTTACCTTTTAACTTTTCTTCAAAGTATTATCAGAACTCTTTTTAGCACTTTTAGGTTTCTTCAAGAGCCACATCACTGCCGTAACGTTTGAATCTAAAGTTTTTTTCAAATAACGCAGCACGTCTTTATAGTTATTTATGACATTGGGCTTCCGAGTAAATAATTTTCGTGCTTCTTTTAGTGAACTCTCACTTTTCGCTTATCAAACGAGAATATGGCTTTCTTTCATTGCGCTATCAAAAGAAAACAGCCGCTTGCGCTTTTCTTTGAAACTCATTCAGTCTACTCGCAGTTTTGAAGACAAGATGCTGGAATCAGAAATAGCCTAAAGGAATCAAAACCAATCATACTTCCAGTGGCCACGGGCAGGGACAGGGGGGAGACTGGTCCCCATCCCTGGACATTTGAAAAAATGATTTTTTTCCACTGAATCCCGTCAGAAAAAGTTGCTAGTTGATAAGACTTTACACTATCTCTGAAGGCAAAAAAAGAACGATCCCTCCCTTCGGAAAAATCCTGGCTGCGAGCCTGCACACTTCTATAGTCAGGATAGAGTATATCTTTATTTCTACGAGATCAAAACTTGTAAACTAATATTGGAACGCTGCATTTTTTTAAATAAAAATATCACTTTTCTGTCAAATTTCTTCTATACGGCTTTTGCGACTTGAACTGACATAAGCCTTAAAAATGTCTACCACGATTTTGTAGAGCACTGATTGTGAATGAGAATCTGTACTTGTATCATCTAAAACAAAAGTTTACATCAGCATGATAGCTCAATCATTGCAATAACATTAAGGTATTTGATCGATCTGATAAGAAAAAATGACTATAATTCTACTATTAATTGATTAGGAAATTAATAGTGGAAGGACTGAAAAGAGCTCTCAGGGCTAGATAAATTCAATACGATTTGAGTAAGTAACTTTTATTAACTATTTACACTTAACATGCATCACATTGAATAACGGCTACAGTCTATGAAAATAAATAAAATAAATGAACAAGTAATTTCTTTATTGGTACATATTACTTGTCCTACTATTCGTTGTCTAGTAGATGGTTGAAGAAAAAATTGTTAATAATCTGTTTGACCCTTAATGTTAGATTAAATTAGGTATGAATTACAAAAAACAAAATAAAAAAATAAACAATTTACTTTTTGAGAAAAAAAGTACCATATACAAACGGATTTTTATGCCCAATTTTCCCATTCATCACCTTCAACATCAAAATCATCTTTGGTTTTCGAACGTGATTTTTTAACTGTTGATTCATCTGTAGTGATTGATACTATTTGTGGCGATGTTTCACTTTCCTGAGCTAATGGCTGATCTCTCTACAACAATTCAAATAGCATCAAATTATTAAAACAGATAAGTAGAATGTTTCACATGTATCAATTTTCATGTAGAATTATGACAACATTAAGTCGACCAACAGTAGCTTACCCTAGTCAACACTTCATCTAATTTTTGTTCTGACTCTGTATTATCCTCCGTAGTTGACAATAATTCATCTAAAAATTCTTGCTGCCATGAATCACCTGAAACTATTTTAAAGAATTATAAAACGATTGATTATCAACTTTATTAAACCTACTCGTATCACTATCCTTCTTTTTCACTGATTCTAATGGAATATGTTCATCTATTTTATTTTCTTCTTGTTTTGTGGTTTCTATATCGATCTGGGGTTGCTCGATTGTTGATATTATAGGGGATGGAATATCTGTTTGTTGTTTAGAAATATTTTCCTCGTGAATTTCAACTGTTGATACCACTGGCTCTTGTTCTCTTATCTCTTCTGTGATGACTATATCAGATATTTGTGTATTAGACGTCTGCTGAGCAGACTCACCGTGTTCCTCTCTGTCAACATTCGCCATCGGTATGATTAGGGATGATTGGGGCACAGAATCGGTTGTGGATTTTGATTTAACTACAGAAGTATTTCCGAGGATAGAAGCGGGCGACCAATCTTCTTCTAAAAACAGTATTATCATTATTGACTTTAAATTTAGCATGTTAATGTACGTTCTTCTTTTTTTACCTTCATCCCAGTCAGCTTCATCGTTTCGATTGTCGCCATTAATCATTTGTTGTGCACGTTTCAAATTATTTAAACGTCTTATTTCATCTTCTTCTATTTGATAAACACGATAAAAATAACGCATCCAAAAATCTGTGTGTGTAGTTTTAGCTGGTACCAGTCTACTGTAGATTGACCTTATAGTAGGATTATCAATTAATAATTGAGATATTTCCCCTTTTTTCGAATCAATGTCAGAATTAGATGCTAAATTAGATTTCCATTGTTCATATAAATCATACGGTACAGGATCGTTCAAGTAAACTGTCTCATCAGTTTGAATTTTATTTAATTCGATCTGCAAAAAAACAAGAACAATCAGATAAAACAAACAACAACAACAACAGTATACATAAGCTTTAACTTACTTGTACACGATCAGGTGTTGAGGATAAATCAGTCGTATTCGTCTTATTTAATAAATTGGTATTTTGAACAACATCACTTAAACGATTAACAATTTTCTTCAAGCCAAGATCACCAACCTTGAACAAAAAAAAAAGAATAAATTTAAGTTTTTTCTCCTCTAAAATATACAAGGACAGGTGTTTTACTTGTTGATTTTTAACAACAGTTGTCGCTTGTGATACATATTTTTCTGTGTCCGATTTAACAGTTGTTGTAAACTCATTAATATCGTTTTTGACAAATTCGAGTGCATGAAGAGACTGAATCACAAAGATACAAAGGATCAAGTAGTATAATATGAAAATATGTAGTCGCATACCTTTTCTTTCGCAGATTGAATAACAGAGTTGAACCAACTCATATCCGAATAAACAAAATCAAATTATCTAAAACAAATATAAACGCTAAGCCAAAAAAAAAAAATCTCATCACCTTTAACAAAGCAGTCATATCGATCTATCTTTTTTGTTTCACTGAAACGAAGTATCTAAAACTAAATTCAATATAGAAAAAGATACATGTCTTTGACTTTAATAAATTAAATTAATTGTAGATACGATATCAACTTCACAATAAAAACAAAAAATAATGTTAAGACTAGAACAATGGAATAAATATGTCATAAAAATGAATCTGTTCAATTGAAAAACATATCAACCATAAGCGCCGAAAAAAATATTGCGAAGTTAACATGCACAAAACATCAGTAAAAAAACTGCTACATTGTTCTTTGTTGCCAATTTGAGGTATCTGAAAAGGAATGGTTTGTCTGACGAAAAATATATCAGTTAAAAGAAAGAATCATTGTATAAACACTGAATAACACATACACACAGACGGAGAAAAAAACTATAACGACAAAAATAATATAAATAATGCTTTTAATCGTCACATCCTGTTCCTTCTTTAATGCAAATAATAATATTTTGTAACGAAAGAACAGTACCAGCAAAAAATACGTAAAATCCAAATGTTACGATCAAAATATTCAATATTAACATCCATTTGTATCGACCTAAACCGTGAGGAAAAAATGTGATCGTTTCTAATATTGGTGGAAATATGACGGATAGAGCAGTTGAAGCAATTGCACCAACTAATAAACGAAATAAACAAGTTTTAATGATAAATAAAATACAGATAACTAGTAGTGATACGTACCCAATGAAATAACAAGACCAAGATTTGGAATAAGAGCTGCTATAGCAACTAAAAATAGAAACATAAAGTAAGAAATTGATTTGACAAATTTAGACTCTCGATTGATCTGAATAACTGTTTTTTCTTTTTGTGCTTCTTAGTTAAACATTCGAATAGTAACGCATAAATACGTTAAATAACCGCGCTAGTTTTTTTCTCACAGAGTTGAAAGTTTAGTACGTGGTCAGACAGATAAGTGTATCCGCTTTAACGTCACCAATGCACCCAAATATCAGAAAAGTGATCCTCAAATTCACTGGATGAAAGTTTTAAGTTTAAACAGACCATCATTTCATTTTCTCATATTTCTTTCTTCTGGCCAAGCACCGCTACTGGGATATTCGCTGAGGGCACTACTAGACATGTCCTCGACACTGCACTTTAGTGGTGCCCTCAGCGAATATCTCGGTAACGGTGCTTGACCAGAAGAAAGAAATATGAGAAAATGAAATATTATTTATGGTCTGTTTAAACTTAAAACTTTCATCCAGTGAATTTGAGAATCACTTTTCTGATATTTGGGCGCATTGGTGACGTTAAAGCGGATACACTTATCTGTCTGACCACGTACCAGTTTATCGAACTTACACGTTAGAATAATTAAAAATGAACGAAATCCAATTTCAAATAATTTTAATGCTTTATCATGATATTTATATAAAATTTTTCGACATACTCTTGGCCACAATAACGTCAATGGAACATAAAACTAAAACAAAATTGTTTTTTATTGTATCAAGCTTTTATAAAAAGTAAAAGATTGTAGTATTCAAGTGTACATACTTGTAAGTTATATGTTAGAAAAATGGCTACAGCATACATTATTTTTGTAACCTGATATAAACTAAAAAAAAAAACCCAGTTAATACAAAAGCCTAAAAAAACAGAAAACTTACGGATTTTCAACCGGTAAATTTAAACTAATCGATCCTCGTGCACCGTCGCCATAACGTATATAACCATAAAATCCAACAAAAAAATATAAAATTGTAACAAGAAGTACACCGGTATTAAGAACACCTGTGCAGCCACTAAAATTAGAAATAAAGACTATAAAGATGTGACTATTGTCTAGTAAACATATATACCCATATGCTTCCGGTTCTTTCATCTTTTGACCAATAGGCAACACCTAAGCAAAAACAATCACGTTTAATAAGACGATTTAGACTAAATTGTATGCCTTTATAAGGTTTTTCTTTACATGTTTAGCTTATTCAGAAAATTTTGTTCTGATGATAAAGCGTAGAAAATTTTGCATAGATTTTAGTTATATTCTTCTTAAAATAATTTTCGTTTCGTTTTTACCAAGTATGGAAAAGTACGGGAAGTCACAAAAACATGTACTGTTCAGACTGTGGTAAGTATAAAATGGGATAGAATGGCTGTTAAGTAGTTTTCCCACAAAAACTAGACTCTTTACCAACAAAACAAAATTTTCTTATCAAATTTAAATTGAACATACCAGTCCAATTCCTTCAAACGTGTACATGGCAGAAGCAAAAAACATTGGCCAGTTTTTTGCTGGTGTTATCAATGGTAATTGATCAAGTGGCAAATGACTACGAATAACATATTGCATTATTATAAGAAGACCTAGAAATATATCAACTCCCATATCAATTAATCATTAATGATTAAAATACATTTACATACCTGCTAATTGAATGATATTAGCTATGAGTGAAAATGGTGCGAGAACTTTTAAACTTTTTATAAAACTAAACGCAATGATTGCTATTAACATGAGTAACATGTAAATTTGAATCGGAATATTATGTGGATGATAATGATCGACTACCTTTAAAAAAAGAAGCGTACGTTATGACAGAAGCTAAAATTCTGCCAGAATAAAACAACAGCAAAAAGTAAAAGAAAAGCAAACTAATAAAAACTTCAGCAAATATAACAAAAGGAATGTATCGATATTGGACACAAATACTGTTACTATAATTGGTATTTGTTCTGAAAAACTTTCACTCCAGTATTTTGAACTTTATTTAGAAGATGAGTCTTGTTTATTCTTCGTTTTAGTCTCTCGCTCAATTGTTGTTCAGTCCTCATTCTCACATGAGCGTGTTTTGAACTCAGGATATTGGAAAAAAGGACATGTTATTCTGTTAGTATTTTAATTTTCACCATAGTGTAGATTAAAATATTGCGCTACGCACCTTTGATAAATTTCACTATAGTAAAGGTTAAAATTTTAATTTCCACTGTAAAAAGTATTCACAACCAATAACCTCTTTCGTGACGAACACTTTACATCTACCTGTTTGATACTCGCAGGTACAAAAACAAAATAAACTGAACAAAAACCCAGTTGTGTCACAATAATGAAACCATCAATTATAAACCTAAAAAATGAAAACATTATAGAACATTTGTTCCACTGTCACAAAATGATACTTGCTTTCCAAGTTTAGCATAACGTTGAACATATCTTGATCGACAACATTCTAATGTCGAACGCATTACATCTCCAAAATCACATTTTGCTCTTGCTGTTCTACGATAAGAAAATCAAGGAAATACAGAAGACACCGTATATCGAAATAAAAAACTTACCTTTGTCGATGATATTCGTGACAACGTAGTAACTGGTGCATACAATATAATGTCATAAGACCCATTATCCAAAAAGCAATTGGTCCAAACTAAACAAACCGATGAAACATGTAAAAAAACATTATTTTTCCAAAAACAATATAAAACATGTTAATTTGTCACAATAAATTACCAGTAAACCAGCTTTAGATAAAGCATATGGAAATGCCAAAATTCCAGCACCAATATTGCCTTTGATAAGATGCATCAGTGTTTCTGTGTTTCTAAAATCGAAAAAAAACAATAAGATATCAAATTGGAATAATAATAACATACGTTGTTTTATATTCTGTTTGTGTCACAGAAACCAATGGTGCAATCTAGACAAGTAAAAAAGACAACATAATTAGAAGACACAATTATAAGACAAACTTACAGCCTCATTTTCATTATTCTCATCGATATGAAGACGTTCATCGCTGACTGATGTTACAGATGGTGACATTTTGAGTAGTGGTGAATCAGGATTTGTTGGTGTTGTCGGGGTTTGTAGAATTGGTAACATCGATGATACTGAACTCGTCCTCGTCTCGATTGCAATAGTCGGAGAAGCATCAGATGACATTATGAAGAAAAAGAGAAACAAAAGAAAAAAAACTAATAAATAAGACTTTATCTAAATCAGAAGTAAACAATTTTCAATTTTAGATAAATAGTAGTGTTTGGTAACAAAAGTTTACAACTAATTTTGTCCCATGGAAGTAGATAAATGTGCGAAGAGTATAAACAACATTGTGCTACAGTTCATAAAAAAAGTAGCATTGGTTGTAATCTTCTTTGTAATGAGCGTCGAGAATGTCATTTTCTTCAGACTATCCCTCTAAATGTTTAAGTTATGATATCATATATGTTTCAATATAATCAAAACTAAATATCAGGGCATTGTAAATTTACTACACAAGAAAAATTGTATCACAGTTAGTCAACAAAACAACGTTTATAAGTAAAGCAGAGAATCTGGAATAAGAATGGTATGAGGCATGCATGCATCGGTTATAACCGATTAAAATTGTGCACTATTTTTGCAAAAAGTTTTTTTCAACGAGAATTCATTCTTTAAAAGTTTTCTCAGAAGTGGGTTTTGTAAAGCAAACATTTTTCTACAAGATAAGCTATGGGAATATTCTTCATCTTGATCCAGTGCCTGTAAAAAAAAGATTTTTTAAAGTCCAATGATCAGTTATAACTGATTTGGGGCTCGTCATCAAAAAGCGATTGCGGCAAAAATAGAAAATACAAAGATTTTCATCGCAGCTCATCTTGTAGAAAAATGTTTGTCCTACAAAACCCAGTTGTTCAGAAAATTTTTAATCATGCAGTCCGTTGCAGAAAAAATTTGAAATTTATCGGTTACAACCGATGCCTAAACACTATACTAAATAGAAAACTCCATATGCATTAACATTCTGTAATATATTTTTGCTTTCTTTGTTCTGCTACTTTTTTACTGTAGCCATACAACTCATTATCTTCAATATACTTAATGACTTTATCAGGAAGAAGATATTTAACACTTAGATTATTAGCGAGCAAGTTTCTGACACTTGTTGCACTAATGTTATTGATAATTGTTTGAGGTACAATATGAATATTCTGTTTATAGAGTGATAAAACAGGATCTTGCTCAATCAATACTTGTAAATCTAAACCGATACGCTCAATGACAACTACACCAATTGTGCCAAATATTAATTTTATGTGATCGGGACGCCATAAATCAGGTATTTTGGTAGATTCCACGACATCAGCGCCACATAACAACATCACACGAATATCACTTGTATACAAATGAGCCGAATTCAACACAGTTTGATATTTCATTAATGTTTCAGCCGTTGTCGTCCAACCTATTAAAGTAAAAACTTTCAATAGATTGACTGTTTGCAGATAATGTCTTTGATGTAAATACCTGCTTGTGATATTTCCCAACTTGAGACGGCAATCCAACTACTGTCTTCAGTAGCCAATTTGCACATATTTATTCGATGTAAATCACGAATTAAGGACTTTTTTCCGTAGGCATCATGAACAGGACTTAATAACGCGCCGACGACATCGAATTTTTGGTTAGGAGATTCATACATGAGATAATTTTTTGCTTGTTCAAATATTCTCAAATGCATATGTGTTATGGGAGAATAACTTCCACAAGCAACCAAAACAACTAACGGATACGATTGGCTGTTTGAGTCAGATAATGTTGATTTAGTCAATTTATTTATTGGGATCAAATCGGCATCAGATGGCTTCTTTTGTACACTAATTTCTTCAGTTGATTTGCCAGAATCACTAGGGGTTTTGATTGTGGTTAATTCGGATTCCAATACGTTTACATCCATAAGTAAAATTCTCTTTAAAGAAGAAAGGGCATTAAGGTCGATTTTTTCAACTCCGCAATAGTCTCCTGTTTATTTACATAATATAATCAGGACTACGTGGTGAACATGCTTTACTCTTTGAAATTTCAAGATTCGGGTTTCCATCCTGCTGTTGTTTGAGGAATTCTGGAAAAGTAATTCTAGTCTTATTCAAAAGCTATGGCGATAATTGCAGAGTAAACTGTTGATTATCTGAGTACTGTGACGTACAAAAACATGTTCCCTTGTTGAAACTGAACTTTTTTTGGTCTCGCTATTCGAATAATATTCGATGTGCTATTTTATTCGATCCTAAACTTGGTCTGTATCTCCAAAACCACTGAATTATATGTAAAATATGAAGAAAAAGTCAAATTTATTAGAGCAAGCTGTAAAAAAGTTTATTGACGAGCATAGCTTTTAGAATTAAGACAAATGGCCAAAATGTTAACTCTCACAGAGACATTCAAAGACCTTGAATCTTTACGAAAAGTGTATCTATATCTGTAATTCTCAGCTGTACTCAGCATACTCAACAGTCTATTCTCTGCAATTAAAGCCATAGGCTTTGTAATAGGACTAGAATTACTTTTCTTGGATCTCTCAAATAACAACAAGATGGAAACCCGAATCTTGAAATTTCAAAACGTAAAATATGTTCAGCACGTAGTCCAGGTTATATTATGTAAATAAACAGGAGACCGTTGCAGGGTTGAACCTTAATCCCTTCCTTCTTCTGCATCTAGCGTTCACTTTTCCCGAAAGTCATGCCAAACAATTTTTCATCTACTACTAGTGTTTTTTAATGTTTTGCTCGCTTAGGAATAAAAACGATGAAAAAGATTACTAATGTTGATTATCTTGAAAGAAAACTACGAATATTATGTACAATAAAACATAACAAAGCACTCTGACAAAGACGATCCAATTTTTCAGGTTGTTTATGTAGATCTACATGGAGCTGAATCTAAATGATTCAAAAAATTGGGTTGTTTTTACTTGGGCAGATCTGATACTGTGTTAATTTTCGTAATGAATGAAATACTTCTCATTAAGTCAGAGAGCAAATAATACGTTTGTACTCTATGAAAAGACCTTTTTTCTTACATCCCAAAAAGTCACGATGAAAGAGTGGCATCATCGTATTAAATATTGTACTCAGTACGATGATAATGTCATGATAAAAGTGGGACGATGGAACAGACGGATGGAGAAAGATAGTACTAATGAGATAAACATTGATGATCATATAATTCTATGCCGTTTGCCATTCTTAGCATCTTCGTATATTCTTTCACGTAAAGAACAAATATCTCAGTTCCATGTAGTACTTTTCGAAATTAAAGTTGCTTTTGACTTTTTAATCATCAAAAATTAAAACAAGCGGAAAGGTTATCTTGCTCATTCAGCAAGTTTAAGCAATTACTAGAGAGTGCAAAAAGCACCAAAAGGTTAAATTAACACTTAAAATAAATTTTTGCTCTGTGTGACACGTCTGTGCTCTCATCTCATGAAAAACTTTCTAAGATAAACTTTGAAACAAAAGTGATTATAATGGTGGCAAATCACCGCAACAATCAATCGAAGTAGAAAATAGAAATAGGTTGTTGTTTTCAAGATACTATCACAATAAAAATATGGTATGGTCGTCACGTTAAGTGTTAAAATGTCGTGATTTATCTTTTCTTAGTTCAAATGGCGTTTACAGTGTAAAAGTAAAATGCTTGGGACAGCGTATACTAGTGTATTTGTTAATTTCTTTCAGCCGTAAATACTGAATGCCTGGCCCAGCGCACTACAGGAGTTACTTGTCAACTAAAGCATCTGACTGAATAAAAGTTCGGAGTTAGTACATCTTTTCTACGTATGGTCACTGTAAAAAGAACAATGATAGAAGCAAAGCATGATCATTTCGAAGTTCATTCTTCTATATGCTCTGTGCCACCATAAAAATTTGACAATATCATGCGATGATAACAGTTTTGAGCACTATAAGTAAAAAATCGCTTTTTTATTAATTATTTTGGTAAAAAATCTCATACTTCAGGTGTAACAATTCTACGAGTTTTTTACGGTAGCAATGATATAATTGTATCTAGAGAATAGGAAACTATTATATTATTGACGGAGAAATAAACAAACGTTTCAAAAGCTCCAGTCATAGATGTCGAATCTCCAACCGTTTGTTGATTGCGCTCAAGAATAAAGCTCATAGCGGGAGTGCATCTAGAACATTCGTGCCAAGTGCTATTGATTCATTTTACTCTGGGTACCTTATCAAGTATCTCAGATAGATTTTATCGCATTTTGTTCCCTTTAAGTACGTGTAAACTGAAGTGATGAAATTCTGGTTCAAGTTTGAATCAAGTACAACACGATCAGTTTCAACTTATATTATATATTGTTTAAGTGGCCCAGTGCCAGTATGATTATATTTCAAGAGTAATCCTGCATATTCTATTCTACTTACTTCCAAAGCAGTTTCCTATTCACAGCGCGAAAATAGGGGTGTCACTTTACCTTTAATTTACTTGTACCTAGTAACGAACTTAGTTACTAGAGGTGTCACTTTACTAGTTACTCGGCGTTTACTAAAGTAACGAAGTTGTTACAGTAACGAAAGTAACGAGGTAACAAAATTAGTTACTCGTTATTGGTAACGAAATAACTAGATTAGTTACTTCTTTATCAGTGACGAGTAACTAAGTTTGTTATCAGTTACAAGTAAAGTAAAGATAAAGTGCCACTCCTATTAGTTATTCGTTATTAGTAAAGAAGTAACTAATCTACTAATTCCGTTACTTTCTGAAGGAGTAAAGAAGTGACGAAATTAGTTACTCGTTACTAGTAACGAAATAACCTGGTAAAGTAACGCCGAGTAACTAGTAAGGTGCCACCCATAAGCGAAAAGGTTAACTTAAAAAAAAAAACCCAAAGAAAATACAACAAAATTATAGTTTATTCTCACACAAAATTACAATAAAGTAACAATATCTAAAAACTAAATAATAACAAGCGCAAGAGAATACAAAAGCATAAAAAGTGAATGACTGTTAACGTGGCTGTATTTATTTGAGAACTTTTTTGAATACTTCCACAGATTGATCATACATTCGTACTCCACACACACCACAGTAGGGGGTGCGATCAATCTGTAAAAAATGTACATTTTTTTTAACTGAAAGCAGAAATCCCAAAGCACACATGAATATAAGGATAAAAAAACAACAACTACGCATTCTGTTCATTTTGGCTACACAAAGAATGCGAGAGACAAGACTAACTGAAACTAATAACTTTAACTAAGATCAGTCTTTATTCGGGTAATAAAGCATTAGATTATGCCGTGGTTCTATAAAAAAATATATATAGTTCTCTCAACACACAATAAGCAGTTTTACCCATGATGTTTCACACGACTTTTCGCTTTTCAAATCCTGCTATATACAACCCCTTAACAAAGCTCATTAATTCAAAAAGTCAGCACACTTCTTTAGTTTTTCTATAGTTTTAATTGACAGCTAGGAAGGGTTTTCAGTTATCTAACTGAGAACTGATGACTTCGTTGATGTTCACAGAAAATAGCATGAGGAAGTTTTTTAGTAACTTTTCGATGCCTAATTCCTATTTAACTATAATCAGAGAATTCGCAAACTAGTTTATATGTTATTCAGTTTTCAGAAAATCACTTTCTTTACGAAGCAGTTATCACATAACCAATCTTATTTATAGTTTATAAACACACCACACCAGATAGATTCCTTAAAACTCCGGGCCAGTAGCGGGACCTGTACAGTGTGGCACTACGCTTTTTGTAAGACATTGTGAAACTTTTAACGACCGGAGCTATTATCCTCTTCATACAAGTAGCGGATAAGTGCTGCTCCGATGACTTTAGCCACCAACGATGAAATAGAACCAATAAAAATTTAGACTTAAGCCTTCATAATGAGGGTTCAAAGGGTTCTTAACATTAAATTCCATCGCAAACCAAATTTTTACAATGAAAATTCATTCTCTAGTATCTTTGACTAATTGACAAATGACACTAACTGAAAATATATAGAAATTAGCTGACCAATCTAAACATCGTAAAACGTAATTTTTGAATGGCGATTTTGTTATTGTAGCGCAAATTCATTGTATCTTTTTCTTAACCTCGAAACCTTTAATTAACTTTTTCTCCAAACCCGTCGCGAAACCTACAGTTAGCGTATGTATTGTATAAAAAAGGTTTCGTTAATTAAATATACTGTGAAATAAATTACACCACTAGCACAGCATTAATGTGGTAACAATAGATAACAACTAATATAATAATAAACAACTAAATTTATTGTATTTCTAAGACAGTGTTATATGTTTACTGCGACGTTACTACGCTTTACAAAGATTTTCGGCATGCCGCAGAGAGCCGTATCACAAAAAAATTTAAGTCTGACTTAAGTCAAAATTTGCACTCAATAAGTCAGACTTAAGTCTTCGTTATGTGCATTTACATGTTAATTCTATACACTTAAGTCTGGCTTAAGTTTTTTCGTGATACGAACCCATGGAAATCTAAATACTAAATCAAAATAACGTTGTTTATAGCTTTTAAAAATTGTGACTGAAAATTCGAAAATATAGTTATCTATGTGTTCATCTCACCTTTTCAAATTTGTCAATAACTTGATTTGTTTGTAGTCATTTGATTCACGTTACAAAGCATCGTAATTACGCGCCATACATCGACGAAATATCTGGTCAAGATTAAGCTCTAATTAGATCATAGCTTTTTATTCTCAGTGAAACTTTGTATTTAATTTTTAATTAGTCGCAGCATAGTTCTAAAATATTCGTTTAGTTGATTATAACTTGTCTTTGTGTAGCATATAGTTTGTTCTCAAATAAAGCTTATTCCTTCTCAGCTGCTTATTCCTAGGGATGCCATGATCTTCAGTTTTCTAGGTTAGGATTAATGGATTCCAAATCGCCGCATAGGTAGTACAAAAGTCTTTTGCTTTCTCTTGTACTGGGAAAAAGCACAACGTTTTGAATTTTTGAGTGGGTCATTTCCAGAGCCCATCGCAGATTGTGACATCACCGCTTAATCGTCACTAAAATCTATAATCTTAATAGCTAATCATATTTAAAATAAGGCTGAAGTCATAGCACAACACAAGTTTTCTTGTAACTGATTGTCTTCTTTCTTTCAGATGATTGTCGTTATTTACTACTTGTTATAAATTTTATCATGCCTAAACCACGTGATGCAAACAAACCCCGTGGGCCTGTCACTGCTTATGCCTTGTTTGTTCGAACATGTCGTGAAGAATTGAGGCGCAAAGTAAGATTTTTAATTTTTATGACGTGTTCTTCAAACCTTTGCATACAAAACATATCAAGTTCGCTATTCACTTCATTCTATGTGTCATAAGGTAGCTCAGGATAAGTTTTTAATAGCGAATTATGCTGAAACGATAGGAGCTGAAGTTGCTTTTAATACATCATTTTACAATATATTGTGCGATATTGTTCACATTTTGGCTTTGAAATCTTAAAAAATCAAAATTAACTAGAGATAATACGTTCAATAAGTTGCAGTCTCGGATTCGTTTGCTTAATCTGTTACAATTAATAATTAACAAATTCTATTTAACATATTTGTATCTGTTTTAGTTTCCTCAATTACAAGTTGACTACAATGTTATATCAAAACGTTGCAGTGAACGTTGGAAACAGATGTCCGATTGCGAAAAGAAACGTTTCAACGATACAGCAGAAACACAACGCAAACGGTATAAAGAAGAAATGGTTCACTATAATGCGGAATTAGCTAAAGCAGCCGCTGCCGTTCAACAAACTACTAATCAGCAATCGACTGTTACGCAGCAACCAACAACGATTATGAATTCATATGATTTAACAAATCATCATTTTCAACCATCAACAACTCAGAATATTCATCAGTTAACAACAATACCAACAACAACGTCATTAACTCCAGCACAATCTTTACCATCCTTACCTTCACTAGGATTAAACAATAATAACAACCCTCAGAATGAGATAAATCAGTCATTACAGCACCACCAACAGTTACCTCCTCCACCAACGAAAAAAACTCAGCGAAAACGAGAAAGAAAACCAAAAGATCCTCTGGCACCTAAAAAACCACTATCAGCTTATTTCCTATTCTGCGCAGATGAAAGACCAAAAGTACATGTTTTACTACCAGGTAAAAGCAAATACTACTATAATTTCCTTGCTTATACTGATTGTCCAAACACTGAACAACTTTTTTTCGATTGGTCCTCCATGAATTGTTAGAGTTGTTAGGATTCTAGTCTTAGGTTTTTTCCATCTTTAAGAAAAAATGCACGATTCGATAAAAGGAAGAGATAAAATATTTTTTGAGTATGAAATATAGAGTAAACATTTTTCTAAAAACTGAGAGGCCACAGAGCCCCGAGCATTCTTTTATTTGTATCCTGTAGTTTTTTTGATATTGATTTCCATGGAGCAGGCTTAACTAGGGTTTTGTTACTGTATAAGTGCATAGTTATGAGCAAAATCACATAGAGCTCGCTAACGCCTTATTTTGTAGAGAAACATGTGTTCTGAATATCTAGCAATTTAAAAATATTGCATTTAGTCAGTCTTCAGATATTCACAACAATGTTTGAAACAGATATAATGTAGGCTCATAGCATTCTTATTAGTAATACGGCGGTTTAGGAAAAACAGACCAGTAACTAAACTCAGAGTACTTCGGTACTTAGATATCATAACAAACTTAAATAATATGATTTCAGCTACCTCTTTTTTTTCCCACTGAATTGCAGGTAATTTATCATTGCTCAAGTCTGTTATTTATTTTAGGTTTATCTGTTAGTGATGTGGCAAAAGAATTGGGAAATCGTTGGAAAAAAGCCTTGCCTGATGTTAAACAGAAATATGAACAACAAGCAAATGAAAATAAAAGTAAATATCAGATTGAACTAAATAAATATAAACAACAGTCAGTATCTTCACCAAATTCCGTGCCTCCTGGCACCATGTCAACATTGAACATACCGCAGAACAACAACAACAATGAATTTCAATCTCAAAGTCAAATGAATTTTTCTCAACAACAGCAACAGCAAACACTTCAATTTCCTTTTCAACAGCAACAACATCAAAATTTTTTGATTGATCAAGATGATTTTAATCAATCGAACGGTGTTACAAGTGTTGGTATTACGGATCATTTTAATGATGATGATGATATGGATAACGGACACGATGATTTTATACCGGGAGTTGGAGATGATGATTAAAATAACAAATTGAAACCTATTATGAGTGCACAAAATGTTTCGTTTTTATTAATTAATGCAATATAGACTGGCCCTTTTACTTTTTGTTGATCTGATTGTGGAGCAGTGACAAATCAGTAGTTCATAGGCTAAAATGAGCAATATATTTGTCTATTCTTCTACATTACCGTCCATTTGTCTGTTTTAGTTTTAGTAGTAATGTGAAACAGAAAAAAAAATCAAAAAAGTTTTCGTGCGTGTTTGTGTTAGATTCTAGTTTATTTTTTTTTTCGATTGAGTTTCTTTATGGTGCTTTACATCTATTTGTTTATTTGCGCTTTCTTTTCTGATACTTTCGATGTAATTTTATTTTATTGAAAAGAACAAAACAAATACCTAATTATAATTATTACTCGTCGTAAACTATATTTTTTTTTCTATTTTTTTCTTGATGGAATGTGGGATATACTAAACATACATTTTTTATATATTGATCGAGTTAATGTATGTGAAGAAAACGCACTGTCAACCACGGATTATTTCCAACTCGAATGCACTATTCGTTTTGCTGTGGAGAAAGATCCAATTTTAGATTAGTGTGAAACTCGACTTAAATTATTATATTTAGTAATTTTACAACCGCTATTTCTGTTACTAGAGACTCAGACAGAATTCAATAATGTAGAGGAACAGAACATGTGCATTGTACAATGATATCGTGCTTCGCTCTCGTCGTGTGAAAGTTATCGTTCTTTGTTCGATAAGAACAAGGAATAGTAACATCCTTATACGGTGTGGACGGAGTTGTGGTGCTTGTCGTGCCTTAACTCTGTCTCTCGAAGGAAACCACCTGACGAGACCCTTGAGAAAGGTCGAAACCGGTCGTGGTATCTTCTTTTGATTCTTTTAGGAATGAATTCTGCCTGAGTCTCTAGTAACAGAAATAGCGGTTGTAAAATTACTAAATATGATCCAATTTTAGGTGTCTGTTGGCGAATAATCAAAAATCGTGTCATGGAGCCGTGTTTTGAACGCTGTCAGTAGCAGATCTTATCTCCAAACTATAACTGGGATAGAAATACTGATATTTTGTTGTGAAATAAACCAAAATAACATGAAATCCGCTAGAATTTCAGAAATCTCTCTTATCGCTTAGACATCCTTTAAAAGAAAAATGACTTGAATCTGCTTTCCAATGAATGGTGTTTTAGTAACTGCAAAAAAAACTCGAATGTTAGATAGCAGTATTGATTTGTGCTTGTTTAAAAGTGGCGTATATGAACGATATGGCAGCCTATTCTTTCTATTAGCGATAATGTTTTTTTCAAAAATAAGTGTGTCATCACTCGAACTCTTGACCATGTTCAATATTAACTATGTTAATGGATAGATCACTTTTATCTAAATAAAATTCTTATAATTATACACATACTCAACACGTCAAAAAGAAATGACTTTTTCGTTTCTCATCTTCTTAGGTTAAGGATATAAACAAAAATTAATTACTCTATAATAAGTGTTAACCTATCTCTTATTCTCTCGGCAAAATTCATAATACCATTTTTGATATTTTGTATAGAATTGCTAGTATCCAGTCGTTCCTAGAACATATCTCGTTTTTTGCAAAAAATGTTTCACGAGTTGAGCTAACCTAGATTATGAAAAAATATACTGTGAGATAAGGTCTATCTGTGAGTATTATTCCTTTTAATGATCTATTTCTATATAAACTTAATTTTTAATAACAGTACCATCTACCAGATGAGAATCTAATGCTACTTAATCATAGAATTCACCTATTTTGTTTCATCTTCATCTTCGATTTTCTTGAAGTTAAGACAGAGAAGTGCAATATTTGCACATAATCAAAGAAACAAACCCGCAAAAAACTTTTTGTAACATTTTCTTTTAACTCCAAAATGTCCGTTATGTAATTAAAAACTCAAAAGGGAAAAAATATAGAATCTTTTGTAGATCCGTACTTTCGATTGGCCTCTTCTATAGAAGACTACTAAACTCAAAATCTCAAATATTAATTATTTGTATGTATCATTTGTGAATAATTATTTACATCGTCTTTAGTCAATTTTTCAATTGCTCTGTAGATTATATCGTATGATGTTTTTTAATTATCCACATCAAGAAATTGTTGCTCAATCTTCTCCTCTGATCTAGTGGAAAAGATTTATCCAAAGTATTCTATTCCACTTACGTTCGATGTATAAGTGAAGAACGCGTTCTATAACTCTTCGAATTTCAACAATAACCGGTTCTAAATAGTAACGAAACAGTGATGAGCAAAAACAAAGTTAACAGTTATTCATGTATAGAAGTTTCTGACAATTTTTTATTATTTATACAAAAATTTCCCCATCATCGATCGATTGTATATCTCTGATTTCATCCATGATTTTTTTTTCGAATATCTGATATCAAATTTTCTAATTATTTTCACTTGATTCACTAAATATGTGCACTATATTTAAAAATATGGGAAAATAGTAGTAGAGTAGAAAAACGCGTTTTTCTTTTATTTGAGAATAATACCGTTGTGTGAATCATTTCAGAAATGGATGATATAAGAAAATAATGCACTTCAAAAATTCGTGAGAAATTTCTTGTATGTTGATATTTTGACTATTAGAATGAAGGAAGATTTTGCTGGCCTGTATTAAAATGAAAATATCATTTATCTCTAGATTGGTTGATTATTGAAAAATTTTCTGTAACTTACCAAAACAAATTTTTTTATCGCTTTATATTTGATGTTTTGTTCTTTATCATATAAAAGTTTCTTCATAACAAAAATTGAATAACTATACTATATTTATTAATTAATGGAAAAAAGTAGATTATCTAATAGTTTATAATTGACATATATGATAGAAATCGTCAGCAGTATATATATTATATTGATGTTGAAGCGAAATTTAACACACTACCCTTTTGTTGTGTTTATGTTGATCGAAGCATGTAGATTCACTAGCACTTATGTATACATACTTTGCTCTTCCACCTGTATTTAAGTTTTGTACTCTTCTCTTACCACGTTTTTATGCGTTTGTCACACATATCTATATGTACAAAAACAAATTATTTTCAGTTATGTATTATTATCAGTAGTATTTTTCTCTTATATACTTTGGCTTTTTATTATTTTATAATTCATATTATATAAGGCGTTTTTACCTGATATTCTCTTCTTTTGTCCTTTACTTTTTAGAAAAGAACACTAAAGGACTATACTTAATGAAAATAATAGTATAATAATGCTCTTTATCAATAAAAAAGGTAGTATACATAGAAAATGAATGAATGATTGCATATATGACAATCTCCATTGAGATTAAGTCCTCTTTGGCATGGCGATGTTAGATGTAGCACAAAAGAAGAAGAATGTTTGTACCATTGTCCTACATCCAAGAATCATCCACAACACAATAACAACAACAACAACAACAATAATCAACTGGAACATCAGCTGCAAATATTAAAGTTAGATCAATTACAAGGAAAAAGGTAAGTTTGATATCTCATTTTGTAAACTTAGTAAAAATGTCCAAGTAAGGTGCCGGAAACGTAAATGTGTAGTAGAATTTCTTTTCTGTTGTTTTTTAACCAATGTATTTTTCAAAAATTTAGACTCCAAGTATTTTCAATTT